AGTAGTCAACTTTGATTAAGCATAACTGAGAAACTATGTGATAAAATGCACTGAAACTTGGCAAAAGTATCTATAATGTGCTTAATTAATTTTGTTGAAATTTTCGTAATTATCTCGAATAAAATTTACAACTAAGATCGTTTAAGTGATAACTACCTTAAGTAAGTTTCGAATTGGTACCTGCTTCTGCCAGATCGCATTGGAACTGTACGACGGAGGACGAGATTAATATTCCCGATCCTAGTTGGAGCCCATGACAGATCACTTGTACCAGAATGGCGACCAATGCAATTACATGTCCCCATCCGCCCTCCGGGTAATAATGCCTCTTGAGGGTGATCCTCTTGCGAGCGTTCGCCACGGTGAGCGACTCTTCCTCTGCCGCGTCCTCCGGTTCTCGAAGTAAATCTTCATAATCATGAACGCTTCCCAAGCCAGCTTCAAGTATCAACTGTTCGGAAAATCGTCTCCTCATCATCTTCGGCGTGACGCTTACAGTGCTGCTCCTCCTTCTCTCACCCGCCCCAACGTCCTCCTCCCTCTTCTTCTTCCTCGCGGAACGTTTGTCCGCGGTGGCTTCCCTCGACGTCCGATCGCCGCGGTGATTTTCATTATGCAAACGCGTCCACGGCTCCCCCGTCGCGATCTTCTCCGGGAAGGAGCGCGGACAGGTTCTTGCGATGATCGGTTGCGTCGCGCCGGTCTCCTCGAGGATGCATCCGCTGCTTCTTCTGGCGATCGTCTGTTCAGAGAACCGACGGTTATCTACCCGGCCGATCTTGCAACCACGTGGCGACTGCGTTTGATCCGAGTGCCGACGTTGGATCACCTCGTCTTGTACGATGCCCGACTCGCGACCGTCCCCCCTGATCTCGTGGAACAGACTGGCCGCCGAGTTCCTGCCGGAAGACGGCGGCAGAACGCTCTGGCAGGTGGACACCGAGTAGCCGGAGTCCTTCCTCCTGAAACCAGCGAGGAACGGCTGATCCCTGTTGCTCGAACAGCTCGAGATCTTACGACGATAGTATTGACACTGGCTGCATCGGCACTGACAACGACACAGACACTGACATTCCGACGAGATCGACAATTTCGCCACGAGACAGCGACACCTCGCCAGCCGGTTCCACATTTCTGCATGACCGGCGAACGTCTCCGGTATCTCAATACTCCCGTTCCACGATCTGCTGGTATCAGTCGACGGCGTTCTAGTCAGATCCCGTTTCATCAACGAGCTCTCCGTCGACCAGGACTCAGATTCGGAGCTGAGACCGTCCGGCATTTTGGTTCTGTTCTGCGGGATCGGTTGAGGCTCTGCGTTCCGAGATTCGTCGAATATCGACGCCTCGTCGATCATCGCCGCGCTGTAGGAGTCGCGACGCCTCCGATACGCATCGCTGCTCGCGGGACTCGGTGAACCAGCAATCCCGTCCATCTTGGAATTTTTCACGATTGCTATTCAGATTAGACGATCGATGAATCCGTTCGATAGATATTACTTTTTATACAATCGATGATTTATGAATTAACGTCGATCTGATCTGTCCTTCAATTATCCTCGGTTGTTAGACGTTCTTCATAGACACTTCACTTTTTTTTTTTTTTTTTTTTGTTGTTGTGTGGCTAGGGAAATTTTGTGCAAACGAATGGAAAATTTGCAAAAAACCATCCGACATACGTTCTTCATAGGCACTTCACTTGGTAGTTTGCATGTTTTATGTTGGACGACGATCGACTCGCGAACGCGTCGCGTTTCGTACTGGGGCCACGTGTCATCGAGTTACGTTTCAGTAGACAAATTAATGCTCGTCCCTCATCGAAAGAAGGCTGCTCGGTCCTTCGCGGATGCATCGCGATGCCTCGCACGCGTGAAGCCAGTACGTGATGCTCCGACGACGCGTTCAGACTGTCGATAGAAAACGTTCGGATTTTTCTTCTCTCGTCGCCGTCTTACAAGAACAAATTAAAGATCGTCTGAAGAGGAAGACGTGAAACGTTTGTAACGATCGCGGCACCCGCAGCCGCGAACTCTCCTCCTCTGTCCCGCTGGTTTTACGGTGGTTGAGTAACGATTACGTTTTCAAGAAGGCGCGCCATAGGAGCTCGGTGTTATTTTTATTTTTAAACCCGTTCAGAGGGAACCGGGCACGTAATTTCGCCGCGCCGAAAGATTCCACTTACGCGGCGCCGTTAACGAACCGAGACGTTTCATTTGCATACCGCGGAATCGAGAAACCTGAAAAGCAGACTTGGCCATATTTTTCTCCGGCTGATATCGAGGATCGCCTCGATACGCCGTTTCTGCAACGAACGTCTAAAGATAAGTCGATTACCGGTCGAGGTATCGAACGTTCTTAGTTATTCATTGCGCGAACGCGATAGCTGCGCGTACGCGACTTTGCGACATTTAAATAAACCTCGGAGAGGAAAGAGAGCGCAGAAAACGAACGATCGTTTCATTGATTTGCGAAACTGGATTTCGGGCACCGGTGATTGTTGTTTATGCCGTCATTCGACACGTAACTCATTCCCGGCGAGTTTCGAAAAAAAACGGAACGTTGGTTTTTATCTCGTTTTAAAAGTGCGCGCGTCGATAAAAATCGAGAATTTTCAATATTCCCGGCCAGTTTCAACCTG